CTCTCTCTCTCTCTCTCTCTCTCCCTCCCTCCCTCCCTCCCTCCCACCCTAGAAATTTTTTTTTCACGACCTTATTTATAACCCTTAATTGGCTCTCCAAAAGAGGCGGTGACAAAAATTTTTGTATCTCTTTTAGATTCTGAGATATTCGTCAAAAACTGACCAATACTCAAAATCGACTTAAACCGGTTTACCGCTTCGCTAATGAATTCACATTTTTTTTATTCGCCCAATCCTCCTACCCTCCATATCTTTTGAACGAATTACCGAATTAAGACGAGTGCGTTATTGTCAGTACGATGAATTTCACAATGCTAATAATCTGTTTTACCACGTGAGAAACTTCTACCACCAACATCGGGATCAATGTGAACTACATGCTGCGTAACATGATTTTAGGAGTCCCACCAGCCGCTGTTTGCCCTCCTTCTCTCTATTCTCCACGACACTAATTTTTTTTTCTAAATACTTTTCTAAATGAAAAATCATATTATAGCGCCACATGCAAAACCATACGCGCGCGTAGCGCGCGTACATCTCTAGTATCAGTAATTTTGAATTTTGATATTATTATTTGTTAAAAGTAGAAAAATCGATTTGTAAGGATTGTGGTTATTGACTATTTACGATAGGGTCCGTTACACGCAATCACTTACTCAAATAAATGAATTTAACTACTCGTTTATTAGAGATGAATGAACTATATATAAAGTAAACTGAGTTGATAAAAAGATTGCACTTGGAGTGATAGCTCGTGCGAGAGTGCTCAGTGGGAGTTTTTGGCACTTATCGTGGGGCCACTTGTGTCAGGGCTGTATGTAGTGGGGCACTACAGATTGTCATTTTCGCTGTGTTGCATTTAGATTCTTCTATATTTACCGCGAAAAGTATCAGATACTCTCATAATTCTAATTATTAATTCTATTTATTAACTCTATTGCAAAGACTTCCATTAATGTAAGATTAAAAAAGCTGAATCATTCGATTTTCCTCTGAACTGAACCATTTTGAGAAATATAATTTGTTTATCAATCGAAATTACAGAGTAATTTGGAACAGAATATTCATCTTATGAATGAAAATTCAAGTAACTAGCAAAGTTCTCCTCTTCATGCTATTCAAAAAAGTTGAATTTTATTGAATTTTAAGTGGAATTTAAAATTCCATGACTTTTCCCTCTCAAACTGAATCAAATGTCTCTCCCCTAACAATTAAACTTTCCCTGAAATTTCATGTTTTTCCAACAATATAATTACGATTGACTCATAAAATTATTTAGGAAGATTTTTTAAATCTTGAAGAAAAAACTGAAAGTCGACTTTCCAGAGTAGACTTAATAAATAGTTGAAAAATTGCGATTTCCGGATCCCCCGACCTTTTTTATTTACATCATTTGTAACGAAATTTTCCATCTGGCACTGGAAAACCACGTTAACTCGCCCATCTCCCCTCACTGAAATATACGATATACTGGAAAGGGTACTGAGCCGCCCGAAACGAGCCGAGAGAGTGGGTAGATTTTGGGGGCCACCTGTCTTTGTCGTACCGTCTGCTCCAAAAGTATTTTCTTACCTCGGACAACGTATAGAATTTAGCATTGGCATTCAGTTCTTTTTGGTTGCATGTCATTTTTGTTAAAATTCAAACCTATAACATGTGACAGTTAAAAATTTTATTCTTTCCCAATGTATATTGATACATGGGGTATTAACAATTCTATGATGAGTAAATTAACATGGAAAATATACATAAGAATGTACAATTCAATAGATTCTTTATT